CTATTCTTTGCAAATTACTTGGTAATTTCGTATTTGCCAGATGGAACATTAGCTCTAAGCTATACAAACAGATTTTCGAAGAAACCCATCATCATCTCTTAAGAAGACAAATTTACAACGCAATATGAATAAATTTTTGTTGCAACTATTTAATTCTACGGTGATGAAATACCGACTTTTTTTTGTGATTTGTCTTCTATACAAGTTGATGTGACATGCTCAAGGTGGGTATGAATTAATGCAAGCCCCACCTTTCTTAAAAATGCCGACAAGGGTCAGACTGAATTCATAATGCATTTTGCCAGTATCATATATCACGGAGAGAAACATGGATGATCTGTTTGAATAAAACACGCCCTTCGCTCTCAGCCCAGAAAACGTCGAGTGAAGTTTAAATATGCTGACTAGCTCCGAACCAATATTTTAAACCAATCCGTTGACACATTCTATTGTAATCGGCGCCTCAGGCTTTTAACTTAAACCGTCGGTTACAGATCGGAATCTCTACAATTTTAATTTAATTCGTTTATCTCAATAATGAGATCAAGTTAGTCACTTAGATCGTGCGGTTGGGTTGGTGGGCCGATTTGCATAAATTATATTGCGATTATTAGAAAATATAGTCGATGATCGTTGAAGACTAAAAGCGTAATAACCGTTTTAGAGGTGACAACTTCGCAGAAACTGCAAAATCATGTAAAAGCACGCCGATCCTGGTATCACTTATATACCTTTTAAAGTATTTAATTGTCGTAGATAGAATTAATAGGGTAGTTTAAAACTTAACGTTAAGGATTTACATAGTAACGTCATATAACGTTTTAGTTGATGATCCATAACGTTGGTAATTTTAAATATTACATTTAAATTAGTAATAAGAAAATATGTTATTTGAAAGAGTAAATATTAAGTTTCAACCAGGAAATCAAATTTTATCGATACATTTCTCTACTCTGGTATTATGTAAATGTATCGTATGAAATGTAATCACCTTTAACAATGCACATTGTAAATTACATAAGGATTTTATTCAAAAATGCGAAAATAGTAAACACAAAATCTTAGAATTTGTATTTACCTCATAATAATATCATTGTATGTTTTATCCTTGTACATTTTAACACGCCTTTAAAGTTTCCTAAAAAAAGGAAATAGATTTTAACACGTTGGATGCCACCATACAACCAATTAAGTAATTCCCTAGGGGCCACATATATTTGTCACAAACGTGACATCTTGTGGAAACTAATTTTCCATGTTTTTGTGCCACTGAACGTCCTTCTTTTGCAGCTTCTGCGAAATAATTTGTACATCTGCTTTTTCGCCGATTGTTGTTATCCTTTTCTTCACTTTGCACTAAGCTGTGCTTCAGGGAATCTGAACGTGTAACGTCATTCTTTTCAATACATCTCAAGCACAAGCATCTCCCTGAATGAGGCAATATGAATTTTCCTTTTGTGAAAATGATTGTAAATGAAAAGCGCATTGACTACAGCAGTATTCAATAGAACCTCAAAAGCTACTTTGTGAAATAACTTGACATTTGGTCTGAAAAGTGCTTGCCCTTGTTGTATTCTAAAACAGCAACTGGCTTACAAACATCCTCTCCCAACCTGTTTTTTCGTCCACTTGTCATCTTTTCCAAAGTATGTTTTATGCTTATGTTTTGTGTTTATCCTTCCACTTTTCAACAACAATTCTTTTCGAATTTTGTTTACCAACCACTTCTCCTTTTTTTAGTTTTTTATCTTCGGTAAGTACTTGCTGTTCTTCCGTAGTTTACCTAATAAATGAGTATCTCTCTGTAAAAGTGAAATTGCCAATGGCACTGACGTATAAAAGTTATCCACTACTATAAGCCTTCCTTCAGATAAATATGGCTCTGCAAGTTCCATAACTACTCTTTCAGCAAGTCCAGCAGACTGCAGTCCAGTAACTGTTTGTCCAGAATACAGTGACATGCTCAATGTATAACCAATTGGATTGAACATCTTGAACATTTTCACTTCATACTTGTGGCTTTTGTTAGGAATGTACTGTCTGAATAATAATCGGCCACGAAAAGGAATCATTGTTTCATCAACAGCTATCATTTCTGCAGGCACATATTCGATATTGAATCGTTCCTTCATCATGTCAATTAGATTTCTAACTAAGTCAGCCGTCGAATTATCAGCAAAATGAACGAATCTCAATAGTTGAAATCTATTTCTGCTCACTACTTTTGGAATGATACAATTTTTGTATAAAATGCTGGTGAACCAATAATCAGCTATTTTAGGATACTTTACAAATCCCATATAAAGAAGGACAGCAAAAAACTTCCACATTTCATCTTCATTGCTTTCTCAAAGCGCATGCTGGTGCGCTATTTTCCTGGAACCAATTTGTTATTGAAGATATAAAAGAATCTAAATACAGTATGTATGTAATCTTACGTAAGTGTTTTTCCGGAGGGTTGTAGCTGAATATAGCTTTGATTCATTCGCTAATTTCTTGCTACATTTTTGCAACATAAGTTTATATGTTGTAAAGGTTCCTATGAGCTTCTTAATATCATAGAAAAATATACTAAGATCTTGAAGAGTATTTATGGCATGCTTTATTTTCGAACTGTACTTTGTTATTAGTATCACAGCAACAATGAAGTTTGTTTGCGAGGGTTTATATATTTTGGCAGTTTCCGTAATTTATTCGAATAGCTCCATATTTTGCCGACCAACTCATTTCATATAAAGTGGTAAAATCTTCTATCTTCTCGAAGACATTTCACAATTTCCTTAATACTTGACGTATTAATTTAGTCATTTATAACTAAATTCAGTTAGTTTGAATGATGCACACTCGAAGTAGTTTGTCTATTAATAAATGATGTTTTCTGTTTCTGTTCCTCGTTGACAAAGTCTTTATTTTGATAATAGCGGTTAGTTTATTTACCGGTGGTAAGCTATTTCTTCTATCACTGCCTCATATTGATATACAACCATCGTTTTTAGTCATCAATAAAGATTCGGTAAACAAATTATTAGCTTATCGCCATGAGTTGAGCGGTGAGGAGAATCAAATGATGAGGAGAGCAAACCAGCGGAGATTGTGATTTGTTGATTTTTGTTGTTGTTGCTTAATAAGTATGGAAGCTGGGTTACATTTTTAAAACACCTAGATTTTTCTAAATTCAATAACTAATAAGGTGGCGGTGCATGGCCACCATCGCTGTAATTCGCTCCTGACTTACCTTAAAACTTGGAGTAGCTTTTTTCGGCGATAAGGATAATCGTGGTAGAACTTTGTAATTTATCTCGATTTCGTGTCTTCTAGCAAAGCACACAAAATTTACAAATTTATCTTAAAAGATGCGGTAGAGCTGTTCCAACACAAACCCTTCTCTTGAATAGTTAGTTGTACACCTCTGGATAAATCACAAATACACGGCATTTTTTAGGCATATTTTGCAGTCCTTAATAGATTTCGAACAAACTAACGCTGTACGGACAATGCTGACATAAGATGGGGGTTCCCCGACTATTGTTTATGTAATGTTTATGTACATTTTTTAAGATACTTATAATTGTATTAAAAATATGTTAATATTTGTTGTTATCTCTGGTATTGGCAGTTACCGAAACTAATTAGACAACAAATTTACAATAACAACTAGTTCAAGTAAAAGAGAAGATTTTTAAATCGATTTTAATTTACTACTACAAAGATATGTATTATGTATTTTTATGTAAATAAAAAGACTTGTAAGATGGAATAATTATAAAAAGTGGAAATTCCACAACAACAAAAAATGGATTCTGCTCTATTTAGCAATTCAACCACTTTTCAATTTACACTCAATCTCATCTTAAAGCTTTTAAATCGAAAATCCGTCGAACTTCTTATGTACGGAAGATTTACCAGATTCACATAAAAGTAAAACCCGTATCTAAGAACGCACACTTTAACAACAAACATAAAAGGAGCTGCCATGTATTCCAAGTGGTTGCATTTAAGCACCAGGTATCTATTACACGTGACATCGTTCGCAGTGCAACATAGTCTTGGAGATTTGGGCAAATTTACATAGGGTCAGTTGGAGGCATTCAATGTGAACACATGTACGCGGCGATACGTGCACAAGTGGCGTAGATACGCCGTCCTTTAATGGCGGCATATGTGTGTGATACTACGCAAATATTTAAATATCAGCTCCTTCTCCGGAGACCGCGGAGGATAGCTCGGATTGGATTTCATTCACGCATTTAAATTCCAATGCGGGATGCTGATGCGATCGTCCGCCACTACGGTGCCATATAAAGTAGACGGAGAATTGCCTTATGGCATTTGTCAATCTGTTTACTTATGAGCAAGATATATGTTGATGGCAAAAATTTTTTTTTCGGATCTTAGTGTTGAAACAGATTTTATCTAGATACTGTATTTTAAAGATAAAAACAAACTTAATTTACTAAAGAATTTCAGGAATTATTTCTCGAATGTTTTTGCAACTTTCTTATTGTTAGAAATAAGAAAAGAAGGATATTGCATAATAATCTTAAAGATTTTGTTTTTTCGTCGAAAAAGATATATCCAGGATGTTTGAAAGAAATTAAATTATGTATGATTATCTTCTTAACGGATTATGGTATAGAAATATTTTTAAAAAAACTATATTCAATAGTAATTTAATTAGGTATTTCAATGAGTTGTTTTCGAACATCCGACATAAATTGCTTGCATCCCAAACGCAACTAATTGACGGAGATCGAGTAATTTGCATATCCTTATTCACTCGAAGCAAACCTTACAATCGAATCGACTTTTAAAATTTACTTGCAACCATCTGTTTGTCGAATAAAATGCTTCGTAAAATAATCTCCGGTGAATCTCTTAAAAGATAGTGGATAACCAAGTCGAGTAAACTGTACAACTGAGACTACAATGCCCACTTTATTATACTTACCTAGACAGGCATCCGCATCTACGAATCTATGCATCATAAAACAAAATCTCAATATATATTCATAGGGTATATTAGATACACCTTTATGAGATTATAATGAAACTCAGCGGGCGCGCGTAAGTTTCACGACCTTCATACATTTTTATCACCCTATCATTAAAGTTTATGATCGTGAATTTTACGAAATCCATTCAAATTCTTATCATCTTTTCTTAAATATCACGGAAAATTTTGTATTTGTACTCGTTGATTTTGCACAGCTAAGAACGGACGCCGATGAGCTAATTGTTCGATTCAATGGTGTAGGAGGTGGAGGTGTTGTAGGTACATTTTCATCTTTCATATACTTTCGACGTAATATATCGATTAGAATTGACTCAAGAGCAATTAACCTATAAATAAAGTGCGTAAAATTTATATTTATTTTGGTATTTCGATTAACTTACGCATCATCAACAAATGTTTTTTTATCAATAGCAATGAGTGGATTCTCCAACAACTCTTCTTTAACCATACATACCCCTATAGATTTCATGCCTAATACAAAATAAAGATGTTAAGATTGCACAGATCTGCAAGGTTTTATTGTTGGTCAGCTGAGAGTCATTTCCGAAGTAATTTTCTGCGTAGAATCACAATCTTAGCTCTGAATTAAGCCATCGCGTCAAGATTTTGAGATGTCTTTGAATCTGACGATATTCCTCTAATTTCACCACATTTGGAACAACAAAATTAATGACGATTGATGATGAAGGTTCTAACTTTCTGCCGGTTCAATATGATCACACGATTTGGTCAGGGATTTAGGTTTACCTAAGATAAATCTGAACTGCTAGGTTCACGACTAAAAGAGAGAAATCTTTTTGCTCTTGGAACTCTCTTTTCTTGGTACCCTCGTGCAAAAATGTGAACTGTTGTATGACTCTGCCAATTGGAGGTTGTTTATTGATTTCTTTAAGAGAACTTTGAAAGCAGTTTTGCTGCATAACTCCAATAAATGTGCATGAAATTTGTAACATCAGCGTGAAGTTGTACAATTTGCACTCCCATTTACATTGGTTTCCTGACAATTTAGGTGATGTTAGCGAAGAGCAAGGAGAGCGTTTTCATCAGGATATAAAAAAAATTGAAAGACTGTATCAGGGAACGTGGTTCATATCTATGCTAGCCGACTATTGCTGCTTACTTCAGCGTTATGAGTCGCATGATTAACATAAGAGGCGATCTGGCACAAGATCCATGGAGCACAAGCAAAAGGAATTCAAAAAAAGTTAAATAGAATACAAAATTTGAAGTGGAGTGTCACCCGCATCTGACAGTATTGAATAATCGTATAGCACCATACGAGAGCGCATTTTGAAGGATAAGGATAGTATTATATGATGAAATAGATAAAATATAGCAAAATAATATTGTGCGTCTCACACATAATTTCAAAAGCAACCAAAGAACTCATGTTTCTTGTACATAACCTTAAATATCTCAAAATCCAGACGTGATGGTCCAATTCTCCTCGGATTCTGATTCTACGCACAAAATTACTTCGGAAATGATCATCAGCCATCTAACAACAATCAACACCTCTTTTTTGCGGATTTGTATAGTACTTGCAAATTGAGCTCAGTAATTAATTACCTGCTTTATACTGTTCTAAATCAATATATCCAGACCCCATTCTATCCATCATTTTAAAAAGTGCCTCTAAAAGATAAACATTAAAAATCAATAATTTAATCCAAATAAGTTATTACACACCAAGATGTTTCTTTTGATAAAGCAATGGAGGCATAGTTAATCCAGTTCTAAATGAAAGACAATTATCTAATAAATCCAACAAAAACTGTATTGGATTTTCTAAAATATACAACAAAATTATATTTATAATTGTCGTAAAAAAATTGTCGTACCGGGTAAAGCACTTAATAAATGCGCAATAAGGAATTGGTACAATTCAAATATTCTATGTAATCTCAAATATTTTTGTGCTACAACCATGGCAAGAGATACGCATTGAGGTTTTTCTTTTTGTACGGAAATGTCTGATATCATTACACTTTCCATAACAGCATGTTCAAGTGCTTCTTGTTCTTCTATGATTCCCGAAAGTGATTTAAAGTAATCTTTCATGCCGAATTTGGATTTAGATTCTGAAATAGATGGGCTAGACAAAGAGGAGTTGGTGTTGGACGATAATGATGTGGAAAATCTCGTCGAATGAGAGCGACTTGAGTCGTATTCCTCGACTGTTTGGTTTTTCCTGTATAACTCAATTAATCTTTTTTCTTCTAACGTTACAGCTTTATCTAAAGATTCTGATCGTCTGAATAGAAACGGTTTATTAAGGATGGACGAGTAGCTTTTATTGTTTTTGGACTTTTGGACATCTTCTTTATTTAAATGTTGATGTTTAAATTTTGGAAAGTCATATTCAGAAAGTTGGTATTTTGTAGAAGAATTAGTAGGTCCGTTATGACATTGTGGTGAACATTCTAATTTTTGCGACTGCATCACAACATTCTTTACAACACCAAATTCCCTAACAGAATTTGTAACGTTTCTTTTCGAGATATTTGATTTAAATGATGGGGTTGCGCATGAATCGACCTCCTCTGAAATTGGTTCTAAAATTGGCTATAATGTTAAATATTAAAAATTGTATCAATAAATATGAAATAACTTACTGCGTCCATTTTGTCCATTAATTTTGATTCAATAAAAACATAAAATAAAAAAAATCATAAACATAAAATACGAAGAAAATAAATTATTCAACAAAAAACATGAATAAAATATGACAAAAAAAATGATTAATGACAAATAATTTATTACGTCAATTAAGTACATATACGAATTAAAAAAAGTTTTCTTTATTAAAAAAATGAGGTTATAAAATTTTAAGTTTTACACAAGGCCGGTACTTTTAACTACTCTTGTGCCTTGACCACCAGGAACTAAATGTGCTAATGTTGGTGGTGGCGTTGTTAATGGTGCGATATTTGCACCTTTCGGGTTAAGCCAACGACGTTTCAGTAGCTCATTTAATAAATTCACTAAATTATCATAACTAAAAGTTATTAATTTCAAAGTATTTCAATTATTTGACAACAATTGAGTTTTTAGACTTACGCTTCTTCTATAAACGTTTCTTTTGCTACCATACTGTCTCTGATTAAGTAAGGATAACAGGGATCACGTTTCATATCAGGGTTTGGATTAATAGTGCAAACACCTAAGGTTTTCATTCCTAAAAAACAATTTCTGTTAATCAGTTAAACAGTTTCGGTTAATTTTGCGGTTTTTATTATTTTTGAAATCAATTTTAACTGGAATAATCTGAACAGTGTCTTGATTTAAGTATACTATATCTTAATGAATCAATAGCTAAAAAGTCAAGCTATTTAACTTTGGAGCGTGGTCTATTCGGCCCCAGCTATATAATGTCTCATTTCAGTAACTTCTCAATGTACTACTTGTTACACAATGACACCACTAATTTACTTAGTTTCATTTCTAATCTACATCTTTGTTACAAAAATACTCGCAAATATGAAGTATATTTACTTCTGGTAAATCGATTAGATATATTTGCGATACTATATGGAAAAAATGCCAGCTTTATATTTGATTACTGGCAAATTAAAAATACACCACGGAAAAGCACCGAAACACCTTTATTGATTGCAATAATAAAAGTGTATAATAAAAGACACTTTTAGGTTTAATATATTTAACTAGATGTTTGAAGGATCACATATTAAACAGAGAACCGCTAAGTTGTGGGCCAGAGATGGCAGTGAAATTGAGATGTTTATGAACAAGCTCGAAGTTATTAGGTTATTACCTTCTACAACCTTCTATTACTTTCTACCATTAAGGGTGACGTGGATACTGTCGATGAATTCTGTAACACCTACAATGTGGCTCAGAATATCAAAACTTTGGCCAGCAGGTGCACTAGTGAATGTGGCAGGTATTAATTCTCAAATTAATTACACAGCGGATAATCGGCTGGTTAATATACTTCGAAGAATATATCTGAAACGATTGGCAGTTGAATTTGTAGATCAGCAATTCAAAAGTCGTTCAATAATAGAAAATATTTCACCTCCAATCCATCAAGAAGTGGTAGGAACATCACTTAATGTTTCTAGAGAAGATCTAAAGTACCAGTTACTATAGTTACTATAAAACGGTGTTTTTGTGCAAAAATTATAAAAAGTCGTTTTTTTGCAAATAACATTTGTGTTTATCGCATGCAAAAATTGTTTATAGCCTTTGCACTGGCATATTAGTGTTTAGGTTTGAAGCAAAATCAAGACTACTTTCATGTAGCATAAAAGTCATCATATAAATTAATTAAATCTGATTTAGGGCTTGATAGTGACTGAAACAATCTTACCAGGAGATGCTGCATCTAGTGAGGAGAAGGACAGAACAGGACACATCGATTACACATTGTAGAGTATTAACGTCAAGCTGAAATAGGTGAGATTGAAGAAAATACTTTGTGACTGACCTCCGTAATAAATGCAAATCAATAATTAGATTTCCACCCTATTTTAAATTTTAAAACATTTTCGAGCGGTTCCTTAATAATGTATGGTAGTACCATAAGCATCATTATGCTAAAATATTTCCTTTGAAATAAACTTTATGATTTATATTACATAAATTTAAAAAAATATTCAGTCAGAAATCGTTATGACAGAAATCAGAAAATTATTCTTTCCTTCTTACATTATTCTCCACATTCAAGAGACTTCGAACTGGTCCCAACATAAACTTTAACTATAAGAAGAAATGTTTGAATAGTTGATTCTAAAAAGGATATCGTTCCAATAGCTTTGAACTGAAAAAATGGAATTTACGTTTTACGTAAAAATAATGAAATCAATGAAAGTAATTTTCTTCCAAATTTTTAAATTGATACTTAATGGCCCTAGTTAGTTATAAGAAAGTGTAGAATTATTGAAAGTCATTAGCTTTGTTCGTTGGGACTGCACTACTCTGCACGACATGGCACTCGTATGACGTCATAGTGCAATGAAGTGTAAGTCAGTGCAATGTCATGTCAACTTAGTGCAGGTCAGAAAAGTGTATAAACCGTGGTCCCAACGAACAGATTTTTATAAAAAAAGTGTATAATATTTGAAATGGACGAACAGGAGATTGTCAGCGAAATACTCGTGGAAAATGAAATGATCGCAGAATGTTTTTTTAGTAGCGTTTTTTTAGTATACATCAATTATTATTATTATTTTTTATTTTTTTAAATTATTAGCGAAATATATGTTCTATACCAAACTACTAACCCTTATTAGTTCTTTCAAAAGTACTACTAAACGTATAAAGAAATCACATGCTAAATTGCACCAAAATTGATAAGCAGTACTTGCAAAAAAAAAATTTGGGGTGGTGAGGGTAGTTAACCCCAGCCACCCCTAAATGAGAAAAAACACATAATTAATATTTTTAAATGTACTATAAGTGTATTTAATGCCGCCAAAATCGACAGGGTAGTTTTTAAATTATTCCAAAAAAGTAGGGGTAGTTTTCTACTGCCTCTACTGGGATTGAATATACTGTGTTCTCTAATACAACAAATATTAATTATTATAAGGTTTTATTTCTTAATATTTAATATTAATATTAATTATTACAAAACACGTTTTCAAATATTCCGCCATTTTAGTTACACTGCACTTATTGAACTTAATCGAAAGCAGGTGCAACAAAATCTGCACTAACTTGCACCGGCTGCACTAAATTGCACTGCACCTGGCCCAACGAACAGTATGAGTGCAACTGCACTAAACTGCACTATCCCCAACGAACACACAACATCTGCACTAAACTGCATAGTGCAAGTGAGTGCAAGTAGTGCAGTCCCAACGAACAAAGCTTTAATCGAAAGCAGGTGCAACAAAATCTGCACTAACTTGCACCGGCTGCACTAAATTGCACTGCACCTGGCCCAACGAACAGTATGAGTGCAAGTGCACTATCCCCAACGAACACACAACATCTACACTAAACTGCATAGTGCAAGTGAGTGCAAGTAGTGCAGTCCCAACGAACAAAGCTATTTAATGTTATCGATTTTGCACTCAATTTGACATAGCTAATAAATTCATGAAATATAAGTTTTTTTGCAAAACTGTTTTATTAAAAGAACGTCGAAATAATAATACAATACTATCACAATATATCTAGCTCAACTCCACAACAAACTCACTCTCATTATTTTTGAACTTCATATGAATAATCCATCTATGAACTCCCTGGTTTGGACATATTCCTTTAGTTCAGTTTTATATATCAAATGGCGGTATTTCCTAATGATAATAATGTTTTCGGTTATAGTTTTCACTGTTTTTGCGAACATGAAGTCACCAATAGCAACCGTTGAAACTTTTGTTTGCATCTGCTTCTGTATTGAAGATAGAGTTTGATATATCATGAATACTGAATACATAATACCATATTTTATGCACTGGCATAAACGGCAGGGTCAAGTTCTTCATGTAATCGAATACTATCACCATCACCGCATCTCTCTATTTACAACTAAAAATTCTTACCGTCTCTTGTGTATCAGTACTTTTGCCACTGCTACTGTTTATGCTGTTTCATTGAGAACAGTAGACTTGATGTTTTCATTAAATGGTTTCTATGCAGAGCTCTCGTTTACCTAATTGTTCACCTGTGGTTTTCCAAACTTGTAGCTAACGTTTTTTCTAAAATAGAGTCTAAATATGACTGCAACTGTCTGAGAGGATGGAAATCTTTTTTTGAAAATGAGCCGATGTGTTTCACAATAATTTTAGGGTCTAATGTATAATCGCTGATGTGTACCTCTTTGATCCAAAGGCGACATATACTTTTTCTCAATTTTGGTAAGACGTTGTAGGGACTTGTTCGATATTCCATGTATTCCAAGAAAAATCTCGAGAAATCGTTCCCACAGAGTGTAATCGTATTTTTAATCTTAATGGCGTGATATATCTATAAAAAATTATGTTATCTGTTTGGAATTGAGGGAAATTGCGCGATGTTAACAGCATTATGATAGATAAGTACACATAAGAACATATTTATTTCATTTTTTGTCGGCTATTATAGAGTTTTTCTATGACATATTCTTTTTCCTCAAGAGGGTCCTGTTTTGTTTGTTTCCACAATATTGCAACATGATGTTATAGTTCAATGGAAACTCCCAGTCTGTACGAGTATGTACGAAATACCTCATCATCGGTGTGTGGCAGCATGTCAAGAATCGATACAATAAACATATCGATACTAAACAGGGTATCGCAGCAATTGAAAGTCATTTTTCAAGGTTTCTCTGAAATGTACTGTATCATCTTAACTTTTAATTGTTGTAATCTACTTTCCACTTATGTTCATGAGACAAAGGTAAGTTATTTTTTGTCTGGAATTACAGAAGACGTCAGCTGTTATGTCACAAGGTTTCCACTTTCTTTGTAATAATGTTCTTGACACACTGACCTTATTTCATGATGTAACGTATTTAAATTATTTATGTATTTAAGATTCGGTTATTTCCAAAAATATCGACATGAAAAGTAAAACCACATTATTCAAGTGTTTTCATTACTTTCTGGTACTTGTCAGATTTGTAAATCTTTGAATGAACCCTATCTAATCAGACTAAGCCAAACAGAAATAATCCAGGATTTATAGTGAGGAGAATAGCTCTGAATTGATAATTCTTTTCTGCTTACTATTAAAACTATTATTCAAGTATTCAAAATGATTTGATCTCCGAAGAAATAAAAAATTTTCTTCGTTAACCCCATAAAAGTAAAAAGCTTCGTTCTTCTCTATAGGTATAACATTTATATTTTTAACGTTAAAAGTGTCGCACTTATATACTTTTTCACAAAACACTTCTTAGAACGAATTCTTTTTTATACATTTTAAAGAAAACCTTCCCCCAAAAATAATCGATTTTTTAATTTCCACAACACCTTGCATAGTATGAATTAAATGGCGTAAGTATTTAAAGTGTAATGTGTTCTAGACATTATTAAAAACATAAATAAATATAATTCTACCTGTATTGTATTGGTTTAGATCAATATATCCCAACTTCATTGGATCCATCAAATTAAATAATGCTTCTAAAATATGCAAAAAATATTTTGTGTGCTCGTAAAGATTAACAAAGTAGTTTCTTATTTTACCTATATGTTTCTTTTCAAACAATAATGGTGGTTGACCCATACTTGCTCTATAAATAATACACTTATCCAGAATATCCAATAAAAAAGCGATTGGATTCTCTGTAAAATGATTTAGATTTAATCCTTATTTAATAAACATGCATCTAACCTGGCATATTTCCTAATAAATGAGCGATTAAAAACTGATAAAACTCGAAAATTCTATGAATTCTTAAATATTTTTGTGCCATCCTCATCGCTTCAGATTCTGTTTTATCTTCTTTTTCTTCCTTCTTGACTTCGCGTTCAATATACACTTGTTTTTCTTCTCCACCACCGATTTCTTGTATTTTTAATAAATACTCCATTTGACGTTTTTCTATCGGTTCAGGTTCTTCTATAGATGCATATGCTGATGGCGTACAAGGAGTACTGGTAGTTTTTGTAACACTCGATGTATCAATTGACATTTCTTCAACGTTATCAAGCGTGGCGTACATATCTTGCAGATTTCTTTCTTGTAATTTAAGTGCATTTTCGAGAGACACATCTCGTCGAAATATAAACGCTTTATTTAAAATCGAAGTGAAACTTTTGTCACATGGACCGGAATCTGACTTCCTCGCTTTGAAAAATTTTGCGCATGGACAAGCCAACGGTTCTAAAACAACGACGTTGGCGGTATCTTTACCATCATTTGGGGATGGTTCTTCTTTTATTGGATCCAAATTGCTTTTCTGCATTTTAATAAATGTGGTATATCAGGATGATAGAAGGATAAAAATATGATTGACAACGTTAAATAACAAAAAACTTAATTACTTTATGTCAAAGTAACAATGGTCATAACATGCTTTATATTTCTTTTCGGTTTGATCGTTTAGATTAGCACACATCTGGTTTATATAATCTTCTACACAAAGTATTTACAGTTGAGTATGTACATTGAGTTAAAACCTTCCTTAGCGATATCTGAAACGGTATAAAAACTCGATACGAGCCAGCAGCCGGAGAACCATTTCCACAGGAGCACCATCTAATAAAAATAGCACTTGATGTGGTTCGGTGTCCAACTTAAGATTCTTAATGGCGTTTCAGATGGCGCCCCCGCCGACACTACATTTGCCCGGTTACCCATATGGAAAAAAATTATAGAATTTAAGGGGACTATAACGAAAACAATAAAGAGATAAATTGTCCTGGGTTGGAGCCGGGGGCCCTCCACGTTCCGACCATCTTATGATCCCCACCGGCACTCACCTTATCTGCTGAGGAGGAGGTCAATGTACGCGAGCACAATCTCGGCATTTTTTGCAACGTTCATATTCCGACTAAAAGTGGTCATTAATTATGTGAGGGGGGCGCGTATTTTGCCATATTTTTTCGAGAATAAAAACACCCGAACGTTAAGAGGTTAAAGGTTTATCGCTATTTATGATTTTGAAACGATTTTTTATAGTTGTATTTTTTTGGGGTATAAAAAAATCGATTGAATAAAAAGGCCATTTGTATTTTGTCATAAAATAATCCAGATGTTAACTGAACAACTATTATTCTTTGTCGTTGCAGCTTCAAAGAAGCCGTTTATTAATTGACCTATTTTACATGGTTTACTGCACAGAGTATATAGCGTGGTTCATCGGCTTCTTTAGCTACAAAAAATTAATAGTGTGTTTAACCTAATTTAGTCTGATATTAAATAACATAAACATTTTTATTTTAATTAATTAATTAATGTGCTGGTCATTAAACGTGAAAAACGAGATTTCCGCTTTAAAGAAATGTAAGGGGAATGTGCATGCTCTAATATTATAATATTAAGAAATGAAGCTCAGAATTGTTTGTGTTATTACAAGCGATTTAGAGACAATAATAAAAATAATTTATATTATGTACAACCGCTAAAAATAATTTAACCTACCACTAGAAATACGACAAACTTAAGAAAGGTCTCTAAACAATATTCTTTATTAAATTATATATTTTTATAACAATTTGGATTTTTCATTACAGACATAAACATTTTATATTGTTATAAAACAGAATAGTTAAGATACTGGACTGACATCCAGCTGCAGCAAACGTCATACAATTTTACACCACTCTTTCATACACATCTCTAATGTTGCTAACTCGTCGGTATAAAAGATAATTAAATAAATAAGTAATAAGAAATAAATTAAAGGTATTAAGGTAACCTCATAACAATAACTATAACGGTGTTAAATCAAATGAGCGAGGTGGCAATTCGACCTCAAACTTCCTCTTCCATAGACCAATTACTTGACGAGCTGTTTGGCATGTAGCACCACCATCTTGTTGGAACCACATATCAATGATGTCAAGCCTATCCAATATGGCACGATAGCGAAATACCATGGAGACCATTTTGATTGATCAAAAATATGGTCCAATCGCAACTCCGACATAAAATGCACACCGCAATCACTTTTGTGATTGTAGTGAGTCTCCTGAAGCACTTGTAGGTTTGTTGCAATCCAACAACGCAGCTACAACTAAGTTAAAAATGAGATTTAGGGTTTTTGATCATTTTTATGTTATTTATACAGCAAATACACTTAATGTAATGATTTGTAAATACCGTGTAATTTTTTCAACAAAGTGAATAGTAAAGCATTAATACTTGGAATTGTTAATAGAAGATATCAAAAATATTTTAGTCTCGAAGCACAATTATTATAATCGTTGTGGTTAATCTCCAGAATCATTCCTTCTACTTCTGGAACCTTAAGCATTTTCTTTTTATTGACACAGTGCTCCATCTGAGAATCGTTTAATACCATTTCTTGGAAGTCGACGTACTCCAAACACACCATGTGCACTTTATAAGATTGTCAAAATTGCAATTTGCGAACACTTCCTAGCACAACCTTCGCTATATTCGTCAGTATCACTGGTTCTTGATTCACTTGCTTTGTCTGAAATTATCTTCTTGAAAGAAAACAACTTGTCAATAGTGACCGGTCCATAAATAAAGATTTTATAAAGAATGATAGGTAAGTGTTCAGTATCAAGGTTAGTTAAATTCGACTAAAGTTTATGTTTAAATGGCAAATTTCTAATATTTGGTGGCATCAAAATCATACAAGTTAGAGAAGATTCGGACACTCGCATATAATCATTTTATTAAATAGATAGAGAAGGCCTTTCTTCGATACTGCTTACATATCCAGGTTTCGTTGATATACATAATATATATACTCTGAAATGCTCCCGTTCTATGCATAAAGTCATTGTACATTATGAGCAACTCCTCTAATTGTAAGTCTTTTGTGACATTGTGTACAACATCGCTGTTGGCCTAGTTTCTTTGGAAAATGACTACGCTCATGACAATTTAATGTAATCTATTGTTTTTCTTATAATATTCGTTGACTGATATATTTTTGAATTTGTTGCTCTATTCATTCCTGATCAGAGTATGAAGGAATATAATCTTAACCATTTGAATTCCTTTTTTTATTTAAACAATCTATAACGTTTTGTATGTAGGAAAGCGGAGGGTATGCTTACGCATACAGCACCTAGGCCCCAACGGGCCCCTTGTACGTCCTCCTACACTCTCTCCGACTACATCAACCAGCCTAAGGAATTTCCGAAGGCTAGGATACAGCTCAGAGGTGTGTTCCTGATGTCATCTGTGGTCGGCCATTCCTCTCCGAAGTCTCTCATTCTGAGGTCTTGCAGAGTGGGGCATTCACACAAGATGTGTCGGACCGTCTCCTCGCTCTCTTTACAGAGGCGACAGAGAGGACTAATAGTCAGCTTAAGGTTATAAAGATGCTTGTTTACCTTACAGTTCGTAGAGCGTTACTACCAAGCCTTACGAAAGACAAGGTTGCCTCTGCTGAAGGATAATGTAATACTTCCTTAGACAGATGGCAGCCTTTAACCATATCCCACCAGTTCATAAACTTTTTGTGGGTAAAATCTTTAATTATCTCAATCTGAGTTGATAAGGACGGAGCGATTATCGGTTCAGGCGAACATGGCGCTCGCTTGGCAGCCATTTTGGCAAGCCTATCAGCGTGCTTGTTACCTGAACAAGTCGAGTGTCCTTTTATCCATTGAAGTATGACACAGTTATGCACTGCGGCCTTCTCCAATGTCAGATGACAACCCATAACAGGTCCTGAAGTAATTGTTATTCTACTCAGGGCCAAAATGGCTTGTCTACTGTCAGTATAAATTATAAAAGTCTTACCTACCAAGTTGGATCTGACAATAACATCAGCGGCAAGTTGTATGGCGATTAATTCCGCCTGTATGACGGTGGTACTTTTACCTAGAGGTTCAGATACGTGGAGTCGATTTGGATGAACAAATGAAGTGGCGTTAGGTTTAACATGTTTTCCATGGCTGCAGTGGAGGTAGTCCGCAGCGCACCTGTAACATACAAACACGCAAGTCTCTGTACTTTAATAAGTGCAACAGTAGATGTAGACTGTAGGGTCTTTGACCACCATACTACTGCACCATATGTAAGCATAGGTCGGATTACAGCCGTGTAAATCCAGAGGGCATTTTTGGGTGACAAACCCCATGTCTTACCTATAGCCCTCCGGCATTGACCGAATGCAACGTACGCTTTTTTAACTCTATTATCTAGGTGGGCTCTCCATGTCATTTTATTGTCAAGCGTGATGCCCAGATATTTAACTTCTTTTGACAATGCCAATGGAGTATTAGCAAGGCATTAGATGGCATTCTGGGCTTGCCAACCTTCCTCATCCGTGTGAAAAGAATCAACTCTGTCTTCTTAGGATTCACAGAGAGTCTTTGTTCGTCACACAAGGCTCTATCAATTTAAGAGCTACTTGCATCCTATCAAACAGCACGTTAATATACTTGCCTTTGACAAGAATCGTTAAATCATCTGCGTAACCAACTGTGATAAAGTTGGCTTCAGCGAGGCGGTTCAAGAGGCTATCCAGGGTGAGGTTCCACAAAAGTGGGGATAGTACACCTCCTTGTGGACAGCCTCGAGTAACTCCTCCTTGAAGACTGACATCTATAACGTTTTTGTGATGTTTTAAATTAGTTTTCTAGAATTCAACATGGAAAGATATTAAACTCAAAATAAATAACTCACAAAACGAACTGTCAATTGAAAATCTTATCGTCTCAGTTTATTCCGACAGACAACACGATATGGATTGATTATGCTGTTTCGTTGCTTCATGTTTTTCGTTTCATTATGTTCTTACACATATGGGACATAGTTACTTACAGCCGTTTATCTTAGGAAATTGTTAAGTAAATTGATAAATAACATAGTTTCTTAAAAAATTTTCCGTCTATTCCATTTGGCATCAAATATTAAGATAGAAAAAATTCTAAATCATTTTAATACATCCATCACAATATCCTTTTTTTCTACCTGTTACCAAAATCGGATTACGATTTATATTCGGAGACATTTGTGAGATTAGGCAAATGGTTCAGAGCAGACTATTATAAAAGCGGTGATAATCTCGATAAGTTGAAGGAATTATTTTTTTACAAATTCGATTAAAGCAGCTTAAGTAAACCTTTTACTTGTAACAATTCAGTTTTGCTATTTGTTAAGACCGTGTTATAATATACTAAGGAATTTTATATGATAACTCACAGATTGATAGCTTTAAAGTTATAGATGGACGCATTAATATAACTGGATACCTACACGCACACGTATATACTTTAATTGATGACCATGAATGCTTCTATCTCTTAACTTTAAAGTTGTAAAGTGCCACATAGAAATGTCTTGTAGAAATAATCCCGCAATAAAATTGGTA